AGTTAAGAGTCAATAAAAGGACTTCACCTCTTTGTGAATCCCTAATAGGTTAAGAGCTTTCTCTTGGATGGATAGTAGGTACCACGAAACAAAGTGTGACCCCACATCATCAGTAATGTGTAGTTTGTTGTTTTCATGTTCAAGGACATTGTGGAAGCTCACAGATTTCACCAAGGTTTCTCCTTAGCAAATTATATGACACCATCCACTTCCAGGGAAAGATGGGGGCATGAGGAAGGGATTTGGAATAACTTGTATGTAATATAAATGCCCTCCCCTGTCACAGCCAGCAACTCACAACTGCTGCCACAAGAAACACAAAATAATTCACAGTGTTGAAACATCCAGGGCATTATCAAAGTACATTTTGCAAAATTACTCAGCATCATTAATAAACTTGTTACTAATTCATGAAACAAATCACCTTAAAAGCCCTGATGAATTTATGGATTTTAACCAATAAATGTGTTTTTAGTATGCTGTTATTCAGCTCATTATATAAGCAGGTAAACAGTGAAAGAATACCCTTTCCTTTAACTACTCACAGGGTTGGTGAATTTGATATACTTACACCCCACTTGCACATAAGAAAATTAGAAGAGATTAAGCTGCTTGTAGAAAGTAACACAGAGAAAGCTGCTGCCTGTGATGGGATAAGACCTCAAGTGATAATTCTGTGCCCACTCTGGCTCTCTATAGTTCTCCACTTGTCTTGGGAGTTGTGCATTTAAAAAAAATAAAAGGAGCAAAAGGGATCTGAAAGTGTTAAAACCAAGTGTAATCAGAACCAGCCTTCAATATAGAGTGGGATAGCAGTGAACCAAAAAGGGGAAAAGTGAGAGTCGCCCTGTAATCACTAGAAAAAAGACCAAAGGAGAAACACCTTTTTTCCCACAAACAAAATTTCTACAAATACATGTGTTACAAAGGACTCACCCTGAAATAAGGAAATTCCCATTGGCAGCCCAGTCTTAAATATTACCTCTAAAAATCAAGGACAGAGCAAAATGCCAGCAGGCCTCTGTTGGATCCCATAAAAGCTACCAAGGTCTCAAACAAAAAAATACAAATGCTGAGCTTTTCTCAATTCCTCTTCAAGGCCAGTAACTGGCCAGTAAGTAAACTTGAATAACTAATGGAAATCAGGAAATCTGTAATGAGCTGCTCAATAATTCTTTGCTAAAGGGAAAGAAGAAACAAAATAATTTATGTGTATTCTCTGTGATCACGCTGTAAAAATCTCAGGCAAAACACACAAATCATTATTTTATTTAAAAGAAAGAAGGAACAAAAAGGTAATAATCATAGTTATTTGATCTAATTATTCCTAAAGGAATCCATAAGAGACTAGAAAACGTTTAAAAACCACCAGTCTTGATCTGCTACCTGGGGAGAATAAAAAACATCCTAGAAGGAAACACAGGTGAAAAAAATAATGAAATTAGCATCTCCAAATTGTTTAAAAAAGGATCTTCAGCCTAAAGAGAATCGACAGCATAGCTTTAAGGACAGATAAATGGCTGCCTCAAGGATCTGTCTTACCTCCTCTTTTTTTTTTTTTTTTTAAGTAATACCTTAATTTGCATAGTAATAACCCAATTATTGTAAGATTAAGTGACAGAAATCTCATTATTACCGTTCCTACAAAACAGTCGATATTCCATTCAGTACCTTTTAATGTTACACACCTTAAAACATAATTATTCCAATATATGCTCATTCATCTTTAATGCAATTTCTTTAATAATAATAAAAAAGACTCTTCTGTAATTGTTAGGGTTTTTTGGTTGAATATATTATTGTTAAAACATGATTTTCCTCCTTCAGGCTGCTATAGAAACAAGCAAAGCCAGCCAACTGCTTAGGGGCACGCTCCCTCCCCTCTTCCCAAGAGGGAGTCCACCAAGAGGCCTAAAGCACATATGTTAAAATATGTTGCAACAACTCTCTCTCTCCATCTCCCCACTCCCTGCTTCTTCCCACGCTGCGAGCTGGTCATAAGACAAGCTTGCAAACAAAATCAAATATATAGCAGCACCAGGCTTCTGAGAGTTATTTGTGTTCAGGGATTACTGCTACAGGGAGAGGGGGAAGGGCTGTGGGTCCAGGGCTGCGGGAGGAGGGATCAGAGGCATGGGGCTCACCTGCTACAGGCATTCTCAGCTCCAATTACAGGGATAATAAATGGGATAAGTGGTCAGTTACCAGATTAACAACAGAAAGGAAATGGGGAAGGAGATAGGGCTGGCTCCATCAGAAGGACACAGCCCCACACATGTTCTGCTTCAAAAACATGTCATGAGCAGTTAGAAAGGGAGAAATAGCAGCCACCACCTCGCCAGTCCCATCTAGCTCAAGGTAAGGCTGGGAAGTCTTTCACAGGCAAATCTCCCACACTGCTCCTTCAAATCCTAGACAGGCTGGCAACAACTGAGGGCTGGTAGCCCTGGGTGTCTGTCAGGAGCCCTACAAATTCAGTCACTGCTCCAAGTCCAGTGATTAGTGCCCAGTGCCTTCCACAGTCACTTACAGGGGCTGGGAAGAAAAGGATTGTAAACAGCCACAGTGCCCCTCCCAATATACCTAGAGCAGCTCTCCCGGAAAAGTTGGTGGGAGACATGCTTTGTAAAAACACACAAATTCAGCTCGCTTGGCGCTCACTCGATCACTTATCCCGCCATCACTAAAAGCAGTAAATACAAGATGCAATTTCACAGGAGTTATTTACTGTTTAATTTTTGTGAAAGCCTTCTGTCAAAATGGCATGAAGGAGAAGTAATTTGGCTAAGTTCCGATTCTCAAAGTCCTTTACAATCACGGAGACACTGCAGGTCCGATTAAAAAGGGAAAGTGTGCATTGCTGGAAACCATCCCTGGGTGGAAGAATTCCAGGGTTTTTCAGTGTTGGGAACATAGCTTGCTGATCTTGGAGGTGAGGCAGCCCACCTCCCACCTCCAACCCCTGTGGGGCTCCACCCGATTGAGAACTGCAGGGCTGCCTCTTGATGCTGCCCTGGATTTCACAGAAGGGGAAAACACCCCATGCCAGCACCAAGCCAGCAGGGAAACGACCATCCCTGGCACTGCCCACAGCCCTGCATGGGGGACAAACTCCAGGGCAGAACAGCTGGATTTCTGCTCTGAAGATTTTGACCACTTCCCTAATGATTCTGGTTATGAAAAGTTTCCAATTATACCATATTCCACAGAAAACAAATTTAAATGACTGTCTTTACTTGAAAATAAAATAAAGCAGTGAATATGCTAATGATTTTTTCTTACATTCTTATCTCATTTCATGCCTTTAAACAGAAAACCTTGTGAATCTTACTATGAAAATTATCAACAAAGACTAAACAGCCTTCCATCTTACACCAAAACTTGGAGGGCTGAGTTTATACCATCCTGACCCAATCTGACTGAAATTGAAAACTTTTCCTCTTCCATTAATAGCTTTTCCAATTCAGCAGTTCAAAGCCACAATCCCTCACAGCCTATGCAAGGATTTGGGATCATTTTATAAATCTGTGTGGCAAATGAACATGAAAGAGAAACTCTCCTTATGGCTGGGAACTATACTTTGGGGGGAAAAAATGTTATTAGCTTTTTAGAGAGCATTTGCAAGGGTAATTTGCACTACAGCATTTCTTTTTATTGGCCTTGCAAGCAAGTGTTGAAACAATTTGTCTTATATATTCACTTTGAATAGGGACTTCATGTGAAATGCTCCTCTTGAAACAAGGAACAATGGGTTTGAAAACCAACATTAAAAATGGTTGAGTGTGGCAATAATTTATTTCATCAAAAATATTCAAAGGGAAAGAGGAAACCAAGAAGGAAAGGATAAATGAATGAGGAGAGGAAAAGCTTCTGATTTAGCCTGTCATAACTTAAGGCAGCTATGCCAAAGCTCCCAGTTTGGTCCAGCAATTTCACAGGTATTATAACAGGAGGGTATATTCCTACTCCTGGACATCATTTGTACTTTATTACTTTTTAAGAGTCGCCAACCAAAACCAGGGCCTCAGCATGTGAGATTCTGCACAAACTACAGAGACACCTTTACTACCCACAGCCAATTCCCAGCAGACAGCTTTAAGTCAGGATTTCCATGAGCTCTTATGGACAGCAGCTGAGGATGCAGCATTTGATACAGGGAGTACAGAAGTCACTGAAAATCATTCCCCTCTTTCAGTGTGCTTTGATGCATGCAAGAAGCAAAGCAGCAGACTGCTCCTGAAAAAATAAAACTGAAACCTCTGAGTCACCTCACCCTGCTCTGTGGGACAGTTCTTCAGTGCAGAAGACTGTGAGCAAAGAGAATTGATCTTTTTTATGCTCTGGTACAACAAAATGCAGACTGCAGATTTCCAGTTCTGAAAGTGGCATTTCATTCCACCAGGGCAAATAACTTCCATGGTAAGGAAGGAAAAAACTATTCATGACAAGGAAGCAATACCACATTTGCAGTGAAGTTACACATCATTTGAATTGCAAGTACTTTCTTCTGCATAAAAGCAGTACAAAAAAGACCAATGGAAGTACAGAAAGAAATAATAAAATCAAAGGTCGTCAGTTACATATGTTTCTAGTGCTGATTCATCCCTACAGCAAGAATTCAATTTGCAGATGACAGCCCCAAAAGGCAGTTTGCTAGTGCAGCTCCCTTTCCCTTCTGGAGCTCAAGGGATTCCCAAAGGGTGGTAAGAGTCTGTTGCTCACAGGCTAGGCTAAAACAATTTACTCATTCTGTTGCTGCAACTCTTCTGTCTCCCATCTCAGTAGTGTACTGGGTAGCAATACTATTTACTCTGAATTTTTCAATTAAATGCATTTTAATTGAAAAAGAAAAATTAATGGAACCTTGCTAGTTTCAATCGCAAAGTTCTCAAGCCCAAAATAACTGAGTTGGGAAAACAGAAAAAAAAAAAAAAAAGAAAGAAAAAAAAAACCAACCAGAAAACCCCCAAAACACACCACAGGCCAGGATGGATGCTCACCCAAGCTGCGAGTTCAAACCCCTGCATCAGATGAGAGACCACAATTCCACATGTCTTGTGGGAGAATGTCAACCCCTGGGCTATGAACTGCTCCAAAGTGGTGTCTTTGTCTCAAGGTTAGATTTAACTTCTGGGAGGATGACCTTTTGGGGTTTTTTAAGTGAAGATTCCTGAAAGCTTTCTTTTCAATCTGATTCAGAAAAAGACAAGAACAGAGGGGATTTTTAGAGGTTATTGAAAGGTACAACAGGCCAATACTTTCAACTTTCACAAATAAACACAGCAGTATTTAAATCAGTATAACTCCCTTGATTTAACTATTTTCCAGCTTAACCCAACAGAAACAGAAATTATTTAGGCTTATGTTCAATGAAAACTGAGAAGTGAAGCTGACCAGCAAAAGAGAGCAATCAACGTTTCAAAAATTCTCCTGAGATAAGAAGACAAAATCCCCCAAAAGCTCCCATATTCAATTCTTATTTGTCCATGTAAAGCTATTGACTTGAGTCCCATGTCCTTAGCTGAATTCTCACAGGCTCCTGAGAAATGTCTGTGATAGATTTTCCCCACCTTCAAAGAAATTTCACTGCATTATCACTGCACCCATAGAAAAGGCCAGACTCTGCTTCACTTGCTCATGACAGAATTTCCACTTCTTTACTTGCAGTAGTAAGGAAAGGCTACTTGGTCTCATGTCATCAGCTTGGAAGCAGTACATTGACATCCACATCGATATTAACCTCAGAGACAGAAATTGTCTCTCAAACTGACCCACGTAGGAATATATGAAATAAAGCAAAATGCACCCAGCTAAGAGTACGGGTAAAGACAGACACTTAGTACAATGAATGAATAAACCCTCAAAACATTGAACTTATTTTTTTATTGATGCTTTGGTAAGTACAATCAAACTGAAAAAGAAATTTCTGGAAGCTTTGAACAGCTATTTAAAAGTCCAAGGCTTACTTAAAATTCATGTAAAAAGTCAAACTGAAGCATCAAAGCACATGACTACACTTTTAACCAAGCCTGGTATACACTGTTCTAGTTACATGAACTGTTTCTTCCCACTTATCACGGCCACCATCAGATTTATCTGCTCTACTCTGTGTGTCCAGATGAAGATGTAGCTACCATATATGAGTCCATCTGCTCGCTGTCAACATAACATACTTGTTAAATATTGCATTAGTGCCATAAACAGGACCCCATTCAGCAAGTTTCGGGTTTTAAACATTTGAGTGAATGCTTATTGAAGTCCTTAAAGTTAGCCAGGTGTTTAAATACTCTGCTGAATCAGGGCCAAAGTGTTGACATGGTATGATGTAAAAGCTTAATATCAAAGGACTAATGATACCAGCACAAAGCACGTTCAGCTGAATGTCCCTGTCATTAAGCTACACATATACATATAATTTCTGGAGATATCTGATCTAATGGAAGCCTAAGGTCAAGCAGACAGTTCCCATCTATTTCCATGTGAAAACAACATTATTGCTTTGTGACTACTGAAGTTCTCTCAAGAGTATAATCATTTGAGACAGACTTCTCCACATGTACAAGGACTTAAATGTTTATCTAAAAATCTGAACAAAAAAATTTACCTATGACCCTTACAGATATGTGATTTAAAATGTAGAAGAATTAATAAACTCCTCCATGACGCTTCATTTAAACCTGCAAATGACTTGATAAAAATCTATCTTTCTGTATCTCCCTTCTCAGACTATTTAATAACAGAAAGTAAGACAAAACCCCCCATCTTTACATGTCTCAAAGCAAACTGAAGACCTGATAGAGAAAGCTGAGCTGTGACTATTCTGAATATCCATGGTATTTGTACAGTGTGTTGTGTAATATTTAACTCTTTAACTACTCACATGTGGCCAAAACATTTAGGTTTGAATCACACAAATAACAACATTTGATGCAATATATATATATATATATATATCCTTACTATTGCGTGGCTTATATTATGATCTGGGGAGTTCGGTATTGCACAACATGTCACTTTCTATGAAATAAAATCTAGGTTTTATTGAAGCTATTGTATTTCATATGACAAAAAAATATCAATGTTAAATGTGCCTTTAAAACATTTATCAGTCACGTGTGTCAAGAAGCAAGGGATGAGGAATATTTCATGTGAGTAAAATGCAGATAAGTTAACTTGACAAGAACATGTATTCACTTAAGAACGAGTTATATCCCTCTTGGCATGGGCATCATACTGTGCAGAGTCTCCAAGAATTTAATTAGAGCTGTAATATAGTAATTAACTACTGTATATTGAAACCTTTCTTAATTTTTAAATTTTTTTTCAATAGTGGGTGAAGAAAGATAAATGATCTTGATAAAAAAAACCAAACCAACAGCACAGATAAACAGAAGCTACTGTAAATTCACAGGCAGCAAAAGGTGTGTGGTGGGCTTTGTCATCTTTTTGTTCCATCACTGACCTCCTGCAACCAAGTACTAACGACACCTTCTCTGAGCTACTAAAATAATGCAATAAAGTCTAATTTATTTTTGATAGTTATCCATAAATAATTACACTTCTTTGAAGGAAATACCCCTGCTTCCCAAAATTGATGAGGTAAATTCTCCCAGACTCTAAAAAGGTATATTCCACAGCTTCTCAACCTAAGTCATAAGTATTGCTGGGTTTATACGGATAATAAAAATAATTCCAAACCTGGGTCCAAACACAAAAACCAGGGACTTGAAAGCACTGAAAACACTTTCTTTTACAAGGTACCTGTCTCCTAGGCCTTTGTTTGGCTTCCACAAACTCCAATCCAGAGTCTTGTGGAGATTCTCTAAATAATCTAGACAAAATGATGCAGTGGGAGCAAGCCTAACCTGAGCCAAACCTGAACTCCCTTTTCTACCGTTCATGCCAAAAGCATGAGAAAGGGAGAACGTGATCAACCACACACTGCATGTGCTCCATGAATCTGCAAGTTCACCTTGACTTCAGGGGACCTTTATACTCAGCTCTGACTCCCAACCAACCAGTAAATCCTGGACTTAGTCCTTTCCTCAGAAGTCTTCAAAATTTCATGCTCATGAAAACACTATCAGGATTCAATTAATAGTATAATGGATTCAGAGGAAAAACAGAGACATGTATTATTCCAACTTGATCCTTATTTGGGTGGGTGATCTTAACCACTTCTGTTGTAATTTCTCCACCCACAAAACAGGAATACTTTAATAAAGTATTTTTGATTAGTAAAAAGCGCCATGAAGGTACTGAATTCCATTACTAAGTACTATTATAGTCTAAGTAGCATTTGGCAAAAATAAAGAGAATATAAAAGCATCCCTGCTCTGATTTATTGTAACTTAGCTCCTGGGGGTATTCCTTTGGACTGCCTTTGCCTTCTTCACCGAGCAGTACAAAGCACAAACACAACATTACAGAGAATGAATGTTAATATGTTCAGATAAATGCATCTGTGAAACATTTGCAGACGTGATGGTGACACACACCACAGAGGAATGGGTTACCACGTGTCAGCTGAGCTGCGTGGATGACTCTGCGTGGATGTTCTCAGCCTGCTGAAACTGCCTCTGAAAATCTTTTAAACTGTGATCACTCAATCACTGAAAAAGTAGCTCCTAAGCCAGAATCCTCACTGACGTTGGAGTCTTAATTCATAACTCATCTGCTGGGATGGATGTGCTCCAGGCCTTACTTGGAATGCCAAACAACAGATTTAGTGTTGGTTGGTGAAGCAGGGGCAGAGTTAGAAACAAAAAAACCTATCCAATTTCCCCATGATGATTCCCATTAGACTTTTTATGTTTCCTTGAGATCAGATTTCCAAGGAGAAGAAAAATAAGTGACTATCAACAGAGAGAAGGACATTCACTGCCACCACACAGGGAATTTGAGGCTTGCTCAAGGGACTCTCCAACCAGCAGGAGCCTTAAGGGGGATGGACAAAACCCCACAGGAACAGACTTCTTGAAGGATGCTGAAGGAGACATTTTCAATGTGCAGGAACACCTGAACTGCCTCTGGGCCCTTATGGGGTAAAGGCTGTTTGGCCTGGGCCCAAACTGTGTCACCATGCCTTGTTCCAACACAAGGTGAAGGCACAGACACCAGCCGGGGATCAAAGAAAAGGAGTCACCCCTGTGACCCATCCTTCCTGAATCCCCACTTCTCATTCCTTCAGTGCCCCTCTCCATCTGCCTCCCCCTAATCCAGCTGTTTTCCACCTTGAAAAACCAATCCAAACAAAAACTCTCACCTCTCATACACAAAACAGGATGTACAGGAAAGTAAAGCATTTCTGATTTCCTTCTCAGGGGATCAGGACCAGGGCTGTTCCCTTGACTTTACATCAAAAGCTAATCCTCCCACCTCCTCCTCATAGACAGGCAAGTTCTCCAGACTCTTCCTCATTACATAAGGCACATGCATAATCCTTCCCCTCCCACAGAGCATCTCAAGAAACACAATCCTCCGCCTCCCCCTCAATCACACCAAGTCTAATCCCAACACTTCTGACATTCCCAGCTAAATAGCCATCAGTACAGTGAGAGCAAATGGAATGAAGCACAAACTCTGCACATAGTCTAAACCACAGCCTCACAACTGATTCTCTCAGTTTTCTATTCAGCCTTCATGTTCTGCTTCATACTTGCAATTTTAAATTATTTTCTGTATAAATTCTGTCTTGTCTTTTACTCTTTCTCTGTAGTCTCTTTTGTGAGGGATGAGAGGGAGACAGTGTTTTTTATTAGTGAATAGCAGATTTTGTTTTGTTGGTGGCATTTTATGGCCATGTTTTAGAAACAAGTTCACAGTAAGTTCAGAGGAAAGGAATTTTCAAAGAAAATCTAGCACAAAGCATTGTGGGGAATGATATGGAAAGCTGACAAAATTATGATAAACAATGAAGAAAACAATTAAGTGTGGGGAAACACTGCATCAGTATTTATCACATTAACTTTTCTTATGGAAAATGCTTTATTGTCTGCAGTTTCTGAAAGAGATCTTAACCCAGGCTATGGAAGCAGAAGGCTGGATATATAATGGGTTTGAAACATATTTTTTATACATATATGGGAAAAAAAAGAAAATGGCAAATATGTCTGTATGAGATAAGGCTTTCAGAACAAAATATAATACATGGAAATCCTTTCTTGAAGTGCTTTTTGGTCTTAAGGAGGTAGGAAACTTGAAACAGTTACAGTAAACATAAGTCTAAACAAGGTGTGAAAAATTGGGGCAGAGGCAGAAACAAAACCTGAAGTCAGCAGTTAAAAGAAGTAAGAGAAGTGATGTCTTACATGGTCATGGCTAATCTATTTACAGTTACTTTAAATTCCATTTAAGAACTCAGTTGCAAATAAACAGAGAATGCCTATGCCCAGCATTTAGCAAAAGCAGTTAGAAAAGGAAGAATAAGTGGAGAGACAGGCACTCGGAACTTCTAGCTCTAATTCCAGGCTCTCTGTATTGAATTGGCTAAGCTGTACCTCCTACCTCTCAGACCAGTTCCTTCCCTGAATAATGGGGAGATAGCATTTTCCTCTCGAGCATGCTATCAAAATGAATTAACTAAATTATATTAACTAAGGCTCCCTCACTGTCCTCCTTGATGTCTACAAAGGCTATTTTGACTGCTGGGCAGCTGGTGTATTAAGAGACCAGCCATTATATCTGTATCTACATTAGAGAACAATTTGGTGCAACAGAGGCAGAGCACAAGATCATTGCAGTTGTTACCAGGCCACCTCCATCTATATTATCTGGGCTCAGGTTGGTTGCTGACTAGATTCAGCCTTGTGTGCTGTACTGAATCCTGTGTGTAGTTCATTTTTGTTTCAAGGGACCAGCCACTGTTTTAGATCCTTGTATTTCTCTCAATGCTTAGAGTATCTGTGGTGTTTCAGCACAGCAAGTTCTGCTTTGTTTTCCTCCAGAGGAATCTAGTTCAACACAAACCAAAACCATTCTTCAAACCAAGCTGACATATGCTAAGTAAAAAAGACCAGGGAGATTTTTTTCAAAACCACAGGAGTGGTCCCAAACAAAATGCTAAAACCAAAATGCTAGTAACCGATGCTGACTAATATAATTTTTCTTTATGCATTCCCTCTATCTCCTTATCCATATCCTGGTTGTTTTCTTCATTAGTCTTCAAGATATATTAAGGTTTTATACCATGTAGGGTTTTGGTGGTGAAGCCGCTTGATGAAAATTGCTCCTGGCTGCAGTTTACAAAGACTCACAAGCAGCTGCAATGGCACAAGATGAAGTGCAAATAAGTTGTGCAAAGGCGCATGGAGAAATGGTTTAAGACAATAAACTTTTGGGATGCAGTCACTGTGTTGAAGAATTATTTGGCTTATTATCTGTACTATAAAATTAAGTTTCTAAACAATAATGCATTTAAATATTAGTGTTAATAATTTGCCTTCTTCTGCTGGTATGTTTTATATTCCAACTTATTTTCATTCTGAAAGGACATTTTACCTATGGATACAGGGTAATTTTATCTGTTGCAGGGTTTTTCCAATCTATTGAGGGAACAGATAACAAATACAACTGTTAAGAGTATTGTTAGCTAAGTTCTATTTTGTATATGAAACAATTGGAGAGTGACTGTATAAAAGACATTTAATAATGAAAGGGTAGAGAGTATTTAGTAAGTACAGAAAAAGGACAACTCCTTGATACAAGCCAACCAACATTTTAAGTAGCAAGACTTCCATTTTTTTTTGTTCCTGTGCTTTTAATTGCAAGAGGCGTTGACTTCTATTCTTGTGGAGAAATCAGTCAGGAATCGACAATAATGAGGAGTATATTCAAAAAGGTTACTTCAAGCACCAGGAAGCTAATCTTCTTTGGTTATTCATAACTACTAAAGAGATAAAAGCTTATTCACAGAATAATTCAGAGCACCTAAGCTAAACACTGTCTCTGAACCACCTTCCACCCACATCCTTCCCCACTGAGAGAGGAACAGATGAAAGCCAGCCTTAAGTTAGTCTTTTGGAATAACCCCTGTTTGTGAACAGCATTTCCATATACTTCATCTCTTTAATCAGAGGGTTTAAAACACATTGTTTTATTTTGAACTGCAAGTGCTTCAATTTTGTCAGTCAAATCCCACTGAAATATTCTCAAATTTTAGCACTACATTTGGCCTTGCCCTTAAAAATGCTTCAATAACTCTGTAAAGTAGAAGTATTTCAGCTTTGAGAGATATTAATTTGTATCCATTTGCAGAATAATATGATTTACTTTACCTATATTCTTGTGGACTCTTGCTACTGATATTCAGCTAAGGTCTTCATATATACTGTTTCAGCTTGAAGTAAATCAGAATTGACATGATTGGAAACAGATTTCAGAGATACTTTGCTGTTGTTACCTTGTAGTCAGTCTTAGTGGATGGCATTCGTACCATAGGTTTATGGTTAAATAGTGTCTTAATACCTTAAAAATGTTCTAATGCCCTAGACAAATACTGTTCTAATATGTTAGAAAAAGGTAGATAAAGGTAGATACAAGGAACAGTAAAATCTTGGCGATGTTTCTGGTGGGAGCACTGTGCAAAAGATGAGTGGCTCTGTGTTAACAGGGATTACCCAGAAAACTCAGTGATAAGCAGTCAGCAATACGGTAACTTTAAGTCTTGGAAATGCTATTTCTTAGTTTGTTTTGATTTTTTGATCAAGTTATTTTTGGAAATAAGAAAAAATTATCATATTTAAAATAGGTATTAAGTTAACCACTTTTAATCTCCTAGGGACCTAAGAAGCTTTAAAAAAACAGAGGAATAGCAAAAAGTATTTTACTTTCATGTTTCTAATCATTATTGTCTTTCTTGCTTCTAAAATCAAACCAGTTTTTCTCATCGTTTCTTGAGAACTCAGAACAAAATATTTGTAGACCGAAATCCTTATGTGACCCAGAAACATCAGTACTTTCCAAAAATACAATGACATGCTAACCTATTAATGCAAACCTGATGCTTTACCTACTTTTCACTGAATCACACCAAAATGGTCCATTGTGGTGATCTCATTGAACATGTCGCTAAAATTCCTTTCTTAGAGACATTCACAAGAAAAAACCCTTCAATTAATTATTAACTAATCATCTCACTGTCTAATCAGATTGTTTGCACTACTTAAAATAGTTATTGGATCTGCAAGGCATGTTTTGTTTTTATTTTATTTTTATTCATTATTATTATTATTACTTTATATTTTCCATAGCTAATACAGGGTCTAGTTGACTTCCAAGTCTTCTGAGAGACTCAGTAAAATACTGGTTTGGTAAATGTGAGAACTGAAAATTCTGGCCCTAGGTGTCCATCATTGTACTTCTCCCACAATGTATCAAGCTTTCCCTCCTTTGAATTAATGTCAGATCAGAGCTGAGCTTTTAATGCATGGGCTTGGCTTGATTTATGAGTGCATTTAAGGAATGTGAGGTCACTCAAGCTAGCAAACCAGCTGGCCTCCATGCAACAGAGTACAACAAAAACTTTAGGAAAAAATTCTCCCTGGACTTACTTCAAACAATGTATAAAATAAATCTTTTAAATTTTACTTTAAAACACATAAATAAAACTACATTTTCATGTTTGAAAATGCTGACCTATTTTAAATGGTGGCCACAGATACACCAGAGAAAATGGGGTTTTTCCCCGTTTTGTCCTTACACAGCAGTATCCACAATCATGGCTACTTTATTACCTCTGAAAACAAATACCTAAGAAAAAGAGACTCCCTTTAAACTAAAAATGAATAAAACTATGTCAATTCTGTGATATAACATCATTAGGAATGAAGGACAAAAGGCCTTTCCAATAAAATACACTAAGTTGTTCATGCTGCTGTCTGCAAAGCTTTAGTCAGGTGAATATTGTGTGACTACTGCAGAGACATCGATGCCACCAGCTCCAATACTTCATTTCACTGGCAGTTTGTGAAAAATCAGGGTTCATCTATAAAGACCACAGGGCAGACTAGAGGAAGTCAGTATTTACAGGCTCCTCTATACTCAGTGAAGAAAAAGAGGCATAGTACCAAGACAATATCAGTTTTCTACCTTCTTCAATTTACAGATTTACTTGAAGTATTCCAGTGAAGTGCAGAAACCTTACAGTAAATTTGCCTTCGTTTTTTCTACACCCTCCTAAGACAAAAGTCAGAGTCTGCCAGTTTCCTGATAAATCAGCCATACGTGGTCAGCCACTCTGCAGCTATACATTGCCATTCAGGGAGACAGCAGAGGAGGTCTAGACAACCTTGCTTCTCCAGGGACAAAGCACTGCAAAGAATATACATATTTACACAGACCTGGTGTTGTCAAATATTGTGATTTTGCCATGAGATTCATAGCAGGCATTTCTCTTACAATTCTGCTCTGCTTATTGGAGAAAATCAGCTCCAATTTAACAAAGAAATGGAGCTACAAGCTGTGATGCTTAAAAAAACCCACCCTTGAAAGTGCGAACCCTGACAACTCCAATGCAAGAAAAATATAGAAGGGGATTGGGTTTTTTTTTATCTTACGATTTCCAAATGATTTTGTGGCCTGCTTCAAGTGGTAATATTCACACAGATGGGTTAAATGTCATTTTGCACTCGGAATTAACTTCCCTAAAATCTGTTCTCCAAGCCTTGTCACTCACCTGAGTAATCCTCCTGGTTTTAAATGGGCCTCCATAAGTGACCAGACTAGTTTACTTCTGCACGCTGATGAGCGTTACGTAGGAGGTGCCGATACTCCCACATCCCTTTAAAAAGAAGATTAGGCACTAAGATAAGTGAAAACTTCTGTTCAAATTGGCTCAAATCCTTCTCCTATTTAAATTGGTGGCAGAACTCCCACTTACTTCAAAGGTCCAGGACAGGCACACTGTATTAATTAGGACAGTGCAAAAACTCTCATTACAAAACTGAAGCGTGTGACGCTCACCTGATTTAAAACAAAACAAAACAAAACAAAAAAACCCAGCCTTGGATTTGCATGTCCAAGAACACTGGGCACTAAGAATTGGGTACAGAAGTCCCAGGCATTTTGGATTTTGAACTAAAATGATGTAAGAATGAGATATGTTTATTCGTTATAAGCTTGAAAGTAAGGCCCTTTTACAGCAAGTCTAAATTTATTGGAATTCATGTAAATGAGAACAAAACTTGACCAAACAGTAGGTCATATTTGCCATGGCTGTACTTACACTCAAGAGGGCTGCAGCTTTTTAATTTTAAAGGAACTTAGGCCTTTGCACCACTCTGCAAAAGGAAAGAGCCCCCTTAGCAGGATGTGAGCTGAAATTCCAGTGTTGCCACATCAGGCTCTTCCAACAGCGAATCCCCACTGCGGGGCAAGTATAATTCATTTAATTTATTCTCCTGGCTCATTCCCACTCCTTGAAGATGGCGACATCAGGCTGGTCCATCTGAAAATATCCTCTCTGCCACATCAATTAAACCTGAGAACTGCACTTGGCAGAGCAGCAGCAATGCTTGCTCAGCCCTGACAGTGCAGGGGCTGAGCCCGGACTGCTGCTCCCCAGACCAAGTGGTGACACATCCAATTCAGCCTTTTCTTGAAGAGATCGGGGAGCAAGCAGGCTAATGTCAGGCTGAATATTTTTAATATTTATAATGAATAAAATTATATGCTTGGAATGCAACATTCAGCATAACAATTTAGCATTAAAAGCTAAATTTTTGTTTGGATTATATTCATGGTAATAATAAGGAATGTAGGGGTTTTTTTGTGACATAGGTTAAAGAGCCTGTAACCTCTAATTTGACAGGAACTCTATTATCACTCTCTGGAAAATTAGACAAGATAGAATATTAAGACATCCAAAAACTGACACAAATAGAAAACTAGGTCTCTCACTTGCTCCTCTTTCTTTAAACAAGGAAGATGATTATATGCTGTTTGACATTCCATTTTCAGGGCAACTAAAGAGATGCCAGGAGTCACACTTCATTTATTCTTCCAAATGCCACCACTGAAAAAAAATATGTGTTGGTATTTGAAGGCACCATACTCCCACAAATAGCGGCCAGAATTAACCTTGTCTTTCTGATGGATTCATTTGTGAAGTCCCTCAGTTTAGTTTCTCAAGATGAAATTAAAAATACCCTCATGGCCGAGTGTAAGCACTTAAAGCACACACACTACATGGTGGGCCAAAACTCCCCAGGGTGTAGCCTCGCTGAACTCATTGTATTAGACAAGTCAAGGGGAAATATGTTCTTGTAGAGATTTCCAGCCTCAAGATATTTGGATTTGCTTAAGGTTAGCATCTGAACTTTTACATAACTATTCTGACTGAACCTCACAAAATTTTGAGGTTCACAATCAGCTCTGAAACTAAGAGCAAAAACAATTACAACTCTTTCATGATTCCCAGTAAGATGTTTTGCTTCAAAGTGTGAATAAAACAATGTTGTTTTATATCTTGTCATCCCAGTGAACAAAGGCATAATGTTGCACACATTTCTGTAAACAAACAAACAACCCCCCCATGTTTTTGTTGGAATTTTATCAATCCAAAATAGACAAAAATAAAATTCAATTTTTGAAAATCTACTCAAAGCTGACACAAAAAAATCAGAAGCATTAGTGAGTTTTTTAGTCTGTTCTTACTCAGGCAAAAGTCCCATTGAAATGAAGCCAATATTACTTCAAAATCTGAATACTGTTTCATTCAGCTTTTCAGCACCAAGATGAAGCTTTAGTTACAACCATCTGTCATGGGTATAATCTCATAGCACTGATACCCATTTCTCTTAAATATAACCTTTCTTCATAAACTCTTTATCTACCTCTGGGGTATATATAAAGCTAAAAAAATACAAACGAAAAATCACTATTTTCACTACTATTGTACATGAACAATAATAGTACCTTGCAGTGTAATAAAAATGCATCCCAGATAGCTTATCTAGGCTGAAACACACATGAAAATACAGTATCTTGAAGACAGAGATTAAGACTTGTTTTGGCACATCTTGAAAGAACGTATGAACCAGAGGGATGGTGGAGAAGAAGACAATGTTGTATTTTTAGATTTCAACACATTGTGAGGTTTCTCAAATGGCAGTTCCTCCATTACCATTAAAAATCCACTATGTATGCATATTTAACTATTAGTAAGATGAAGTTTACAATGTACTTTCAATGGGAAAAATCAGAGACATGGAAAAACATTGTTAGAATTGTGTCCAATAATGAAGCATAATCATCCTTGAGAGCTTGCATTCCTCAATATCCAAGTATTTCACGCTGTTCTTGCTAATGTGTGACAAAAAGCTCAGAACTCTGGACAAAACAGAGAAATAGGGGTTGATTGATGGTGACTGAAATTAGGAAACAGCACAGGCACTGAACTGGGTGTCATCCCAGTTGGGGCTGCGTTTCTAACTGGGCAGCTGAGACACTTCTTTCTCTCTGACCAAGTAGTGGGTTGTGCCAAACTCAACTATCCAAATGCCTGTGCAGCTCAAGGTGTGGACACAGACATTTATTTGCCCTCTGACCTGTCTGGCTGGAATCCATCCTGGTCCATACAGCCACATTAGCAGGATGCTCTGTCCACCTGCAGTGCTGGGACACAGTAATTTAGTTTGTTACTTCCAGACTAGTCTGAGCATGCCCTTCCCTGCAGACATGCCCCTTACTGAAAAATAACCAGTCAAGGTCAAAAGAGAAATTTCAAGTAGTGTTATATTAAGTGCTATATTGATTGGTTGTTTTTATTTTCACACATAAAATCCTAAATAATGTATTATCTTTCAGCATACCAAAATCTAAAAGTCATCACCAACTACCCAGAACAAAAAGCAGGACAAAGAGTTTTTCAGGGGAAAGAAGACTCTTGATTTTTGACATGTCTAAAATTTTTGACTCCAAACAGATTTTTTTCATCAGTCATGACTTTTGGATATGTGGAATGACTATGATGTTAATGATAATTTTTTTGTACCTAAAGGCTTGGTTTTCATCTCCAGTGACAACACAATACTAAGAGGTTGGTTTGGGATTTTTTGCAAGGAGCATCATTTAGAAACAGATACTTCTAACTCCTTAAGATAAACAGCTGCAGAAACACAATGCTTTAATTTTAGAAGTCCATATCAGACATTATACACTTCCTGAGGATTCTGGGAAGTGTAGTCTCCTAGCTTAATTTTCTCCTAAAATGTAATAAATTTAAGACAAACCATCCAGGTATTTTTGTTGGTAAACACAAGGCAAATATTTCCCCCTGAAATTATCTTCACAACTGAAGGGAAGAAAACCAAGTGAGCCTATTCCCCTGGTGTAAACAGATTATCCCCTTGTTTAAAGTGATGAAGTTGTCTCTCCCTTTTGCTCAAATATATAAAACAAAATATCTTATCTATTAACCAGGACACTGGGTAATATCTCCAGGGCTGGCTATCAGCTGGTTTAACTGTAAGACAGTTTTACATTAGGCATAGGGAGAGGGGGAATTTGGTAAGCACCGAGAAGAGGGCAGGAGAGAAAATAGGTCAGATAGCTTACAAACATGCAGAAACAGAGACTAATAGTTCTACTTTTTATTCTATAATAAAATTAATGTTGCCCCAGCAGCATGCTATTTGGTACATCCATCTAATCTATTAAACAAACAAGAAAACAAAGGATTAGCTGAAGATAGTACTCCTGTGTATTTGTGAACTAGTTTCTCGTAATTAACAAAATTGATGATAAATATAATTTTGTTTTTACTTTCTCTTCATTTTCACATAGAAACATACAATATTATATATCAACTAGAATAAAATCTGCTAAACTGATTATGAAACTACAAATCTACGATTTATTTATATGTTTAGTAACAGCATTTTCCTTTTTGCTAGTTCCTTCAGGTATTAAGAAGAAAGGGCAAAACAAGAGGAGATATGCACAATTTCACCCACCAGAATTTCACATTAAACTCCACAATGTGCACACAGCAAAGCAAACAGTGAAAAACACATGAAAGGGGAGAAAACGCTGGACAACTCTGAACAAAAGCAATCTCAAGTACAAAGACTTGAGATCTTTTTAAGATCTTTGCAAGCAGAGAGGAAAATAAGTGCTTCAATATGGGGGCAAAGTGAAGAGAGTTCTTTATAAACACTGACTTGAAGCCTTCAGACATTAAAGACTCACATTATAGACCAATGCTACAAACTCCCCCAAAACTCATCTCTATAAATGCTTGAATTAATTTTTCTCTTGTCACTGGGAATTAAGCTTACTTGGTCAATCAAAACTGTCTGATTCTCTGCAAGAATTTTCAGCCTTCAGTACAGTTTGTAAGCAGCTCTGCAGAACAGGCCCTTTGAAATTATAAAAGAAGTCAGGGGTAAATGGCACTACTGCAGCAGGGAGAGTCCTGCAGAGAGGAAATCCAACAAAAGATGCATTATGCTATTAACAATAAGAAAACAGCTCTGTGATTTCTTCTTATTTTTAATATTTATATTGGCTAGCTCTATGATTTCTTCTTATTTCTAATATTTATATTGGCTTGGTGCCCCAAAAAACCCAGTAAGTCCTCCTGCATCTCAAAATCCCAATGGAGTTTATAGACAAAATTTAAAGACTATAGGTAAAATATTTTTGCTCTAAAAATACTATTGCTGGCATCTGGAAAATTCTCTTTTTCCTGCTTTGCATCACAGGCACAGTGGACAAGTGTGTTCAGTTTAAGATTCCCAAATTTATCTTATCTGCTGAAATGACAGCATACTCACATGATGACAGTAGCCAAGATATTAGTGCTGATTCATATCTGCATGAAACTCACTCTTCGGTTCATAAAATTCTTCTTATCTTTTTGTTAAGTTTGAGGTCTGCTGGAATCTAAAAGCTCAAAGTGAAAAACAGCCTGTGTCTATTCTGGGGCTGAGCTGGAAGAAAACACTGAGTTCCACAGCTTTCCCCCCAAACAGTAACACGTTCAGTTTTATTTATAACTCTCACCTATTTTGGAAATTTTTGTGAACCTGGCCTGACATTCAAATTGGTAATTCAGCTTAAAACTAGGGAAGGCTTCTCTCCTTTTATGCCTCCATACAATTGCTTTGAGGTTAATAAACAACAAAGATATTAATAGCATAACATGACATGACCTATGAATGTCACAACATGATTAATGCGTTCTAAAAAAACAGAGGTAAATAGACAAAATCTACTATGAACTGCTCCTGTGAGGCAGCAAACAGAAGAAGGAAAAGATAGTGTCTATATGTTGGAGATTATAAAAGGTTCTGAAAACTGCAGGGAGACTTTGGCATGGGTGACACAGAGTTGCGAATGTTTTCAAGGAGGTCCCATCAGACCTTGGAGCTAACGATCCTCTTTCAAATCTGTCTGCTTCTTTCTTTTAATCTTCCTTTTCTGTTGTTTTTGCTTGAGAGAAAACAACAAGGCATGATGCTGTGGGAGAGATGCCAATGCTCAGCTCCTGCTGAGAAGTGGGAAAAAAAAAAAAAGAAAAAAAAAAAAGATGTGTTGGAGCTGGAGCTGCCGAATCCTGCTCACTTTGTGCAGAGGAATTAAACAGCATCTCCCTTCACTGCCTAAATAGGGCAAATTTGGTTTACCTGGGTGAGAGAATGTCTTTCACTGAGGGTGTGAAGTAAAATGACGTGTGCTTGAGGTAGAAAGGGATGTGTCAATTTAACTCTGTTGCTGCCTTAAGCAGCATCCAAGGGAGATGGGAATT